TAGGAGTCCCGTCTAGGGGATGGGGTGGGGATGCACGGAGGGGGGTCGAGTAGCTAGTAGAAAGACGGGTAGAGAGGTGGTCCGTGAAGTGTGCTGGGAAGGCAAGCGAATGGGGAGTGAAGCTGGCAGTGGGATCAGGAAAGATAGGAGTTGGTAGCGAAGGGGACGCAGAGAAGTGTTCTGTGAATGTGGTCGTACCGTGGGGGTGGAAATGGCCAAAGTGGGGGGGGGGGAGCGAATGAGGGTGTCTATGTGTGCGTGAAGTTGTTTGATGCTTCCAGTTGCTCTAATTTATTATCCAGCTGTATGCATCGTCTCTTTCTATTATGAGCTAGTGAGTTTTGCCTCTGTCCTCCATTGAAGTCAGTCGTCTTGAGTCGCGGTGAGCTCCCCGGTGAGTGTGAGTTTCTGCATGCTTGGCGAGGTTCCGTTGCTTGAGATGGGGCGAAAGACTGTTGCTGTCCGTTTTCTTGTTGGTAGCGCGAGTTAGGGAGTATTTGTCTTTTTCGTGGCAGAACGTAGGGCGCTGTGGGGAAGTGTTGGAGCAGATGGGACAGGTGATGTTGGTTGATGCGGCTTTATGGTTCCTTGACTTACCTTGTTTGGCAGGGAATGGCGACGAGGTCGACATCACCTGTGAAGATGCTATTTTGTCCGTATGTCTAATGAATCGAGTCTCTTCGACTGAGCTCTGCCGTTCGCCCACTCCCAGGTCGGACTGTACGGGGGATAATTATTTGCTCCCTGAGCTTATTTCTCCTCCCTTCCTCACTCGCGTCCCGTTCTCGTTCGCCGTTCTCTCATTGATCCTTGTGATTTGTAGTCCTGTCCGCTTATGTCCTTTCTGCCTGTCTTCTTTCTAGACTTCACCAGCGCTAACGTTTTGTTGCTGCTCCGCTCTTACTAAGATTAGTAGGCGAGTCCTCTCCGCTACTCGATCCTTTGCTCCGTGTTTCCGGTTCGACCCCAATTTCCTCTTTCGTTTGCTTCTCTTTTCTTGGGAGCTTCTCTCATCATGTGTCGGACTTCCTTACTCTCCCTCCACTGAACTCTTCCCCTCCTTACTGTTCCGATTGTCTCTTCCTTTCCAATCGACTCACGTTCGATGTCTTGCGCTCAAAAGCCCTTTTCTCTCCTTTTCTTCCTTGTCTCTCGCTGTTCCCTGCTCGAAATACTCTCGAAGTTATTTTCTCTTCTTTCTATCATCATGTGTCTGACTCCCTTACTCTCCCTCCTCTGAACTCCTACCCTCCTTACTGTTCCGATTTGTCTCTTCCTTTCCTCTCGACTCACGTTCGATGTCTTGCGTTCAAAAGCCCTTTTCTCTCCTTTTCTTCTTTGTCTCTCACTAGTCCCTGCTCGAAATACTCTCGAAGTTATTTTCTCTTCTTTCTATCCTCGCCCTTCACTTCTCCCTTTCCGCTCCTTTCGTCGTTTTCCTCTTCCCGTTGTCTTCGTGCGAGGGCGTGATGATGGTGACAGGCGTGCGTGGCTATGGTTGCCTCCCCACCACACCCACTGCCGTGGCTGGATTTACCCACTCCCGCGTCCAGATTCGCGCCCCCTTGGCAGATTTGAAAATTCGAAAAAGATTCGCGCGCGTCGCGCAGGGCCTTCCTGGTGGGTAGGCCCTTAATACCAAGAGGCTCTGCCGGCGCTGTCCGCTGTGGGCGATAGCGCTAACCGCTGGCACTAGCACAAAAAGAATATACTCATGTGAGCATGAGCCCGCCCTCAGAAAAAAAAAAAAACAAACGTATACTGAGCTCACGAAGGTATGCTTTATGTAAAGGAAAAAAATCGAAAAATAAAACCAGGTTATGGACAATAATAAAATAACCTGGTCTTATTTTTTGATTTTTTTCCTTTACATAAAGCATACCTTCGCTCAGTATCGGGCAGAAGGGAAAAGAATTCAAAATATCATAAATACGACAAATAATTATGTTGCCTGCTGCTGCCCAAAAGGCAAATCTGCAGTAACCCTGTTCAGAAGTAGTCTGGGGCCCAGAACTCAGCCCAAGGCAACGCAGACCAAAGTTTGGTCTGCGCTGGGCTGTGTGACCAGGACACGCCCAGGCCTGAGTCTGTCGCATTTGGCTGTGTGACCAAACGCTGCACCCAGGAAAGTTAAGGGTCAAAGTCAACTGTAGAGTCAAAGGTACCGCACCCAGGCCCTTGGTTGGATACACTCGTTGTGCGCAGGTACCCAGACAAGCATCCAGGCCGAAGGGAATTCAGTTTCAGGTCAATTTGGGCCTTCATTTGCATCGAGATCTGGACGGCTAAAGGGTGCAGCATCCGGGGTCCAGACCCCGAGTCAACACTACTTAAGCATTGACCTCCCTGGCTTTGACATTCATTCTGTCTTGCGCTGATGCTGACTTCACGCGTTGACTTCAACGCCGGCTCGACGCTGCGACGCTGGCTCGACACTGCGACGCTGGCATTGTGATTCAGCGATGCGCTGCTGGTCTGGCATGGTGGCTGGCTTGCACCTGTCTTCTTGGCATGCTGACGTGGCAGCTGCCATGCGCTATCGCTGAGGTGGCTGCTGCCACGTTTATCATTGGCTGACGTGGCTGCTGCCACGTGTTCTTCTGTTTGCTAACGAGGCGAAGCTACGTGACTTGTATTGCTGTTCAAATTATTGTCATTCGGGAGGAGATCGGGACTGTGGAGAGATCGTGGATACATACCTGATGGTCTTCATGTCGACATTGCTCCAGCGCTGATGAGGGACTAATTAGACGTGCCACGTGGCACATTGAGGTTACTTCAGATAATCGTTCAGACTATCGACTATTGAGGTGGTGATCGAGGAGGGAGCCCGAAGCAGGAGTGGGTCTTGTATTCATTTCCTCTCCTTTGTCTAATCTCCCTCAGCTCTCTTCGTCTGTGTATGATTATCTCATCTCATTCTGTCTGGATACGATTTTGACTATTGGTAATCATCAGCTGGTTGACATTCATCTGGGCTTGCATTGTTGACGTCTGTCTTCACGATCTGGGTTCATTGCAAATCTACCTGGAAAAAAAAAAAAAAAGAATGAAAATAGAACGCTGTCCCACAATGCTCTTGCTAAGCGATGGATCAATGCCCAGATAGGAAGCAATCAATGCTGCTGGCTCAGGATCTGGGCGTACAACCGATGTAAGGGATGCTGAACCCGGTTTCCAGCCTTTCTAATATTAAAAAAAAAAAGCAGAGAAAAACGAAATGGACGTCTGGCAAAGACAGAAAGCAACAGGAAAAAAAAACAGGAAAAAATAGAATAGAACTGTGCGTTGTAGCCGTGGAGGAGTCCATTTCCCTGAGAACCCCATTGTTATAGCCCTACCTTCTTCCTTCGAATACACGTACGGTCATTATAGCCGTATCTAGACTGAAAGATGGCTCAAATACAGCTATAATGACCGTACGTTGTATGCGGGGGAAGAAGGCAGACATGTGCATACACCTAATGAGCTCTGCAAAGAAGGTTCAATAATTTCTACCAGGGATATTTGTGGATATTGAGATTGGCAGACATGTCCACAGAGTGAGAAAATCAAATGAAGCAAGCAAGCAAGCTATTGGACCGCCATCAACATACCACGTTTATCTTCCCCACGAACTAGTGCCTTGACTTGTTTGCTGAGCTCCTCCAACTCCATGATCGACTTCACGTAAACCATCTTCCTCATGCGTGCACTACACTTACACAGGTGTTAGCTATTAAGGATAAAAATCGCAGGAGATAAAAGGACCCAGGATCAACACAAAGGATGCAGATTGATGCATTCAAAGCCACCTGAAACAAAAAAGAAAAAACAAAGCGAACTGACCATACTTGCAGCACACCTGTGCGGAGCCTTGTGCGAAGTGCCCTCAGACAAAAGCAATGGCCAACAAAACGATCAGATACAGCACAGTTTTGCGGCCGATAGCCGATACCGGCCTTTCCGCAGCCAACTAGTTGGGCAGGCTGGGCAGTGGACCGCTGACCGGTCGGCAGAGGGCGACAGGCTGGGGATTTTTCAAATCTGGGATCCGGGCTGATCTGCTAAGAAACTTTGATAATCAGGTGGGAGGGGAGGGCGTGGTGCAGGGGGCGGGAATGGGAGTATTGGAATTACTAATTAATGGGAGTAGCTTCCGACAGGGGAGGTCTCTTGTCCAACGGACCTGTGAGGTTGTAGGGGATACAGAGGTGAAACGCTATCCACCATTCAGATCTTCATTCTGTGAATGTTTTACCAGTGCAAATAAAAAAAAGTAATCGCACGCGCTATGTCGTGCATCTGCGATTTCCAAACTTATTCAGAAGGGTAGCTTCAGGCAGAGGAGTCTCTTGGCAATCGGGCGCATGATGCTGTAGGGGATGTAATGGCAACCCTATCCACCATTCAATCTTGTTTCTTCCGATGCTTCGACATTGTTAAGTAGAAAAGTCATCCTGCGACTTCTCTCTCTCTCTCTCTCTCTCTCTCTCTCTCTCTCTCTCTCTGATTTCAAAACGAGGGTAGCTTTGGGCCAGGATGCCTCGTTCGCCGAGCAAGCTGCGTGCGGTGGCAGGGGCTGTAAAGGTGACCATATCCACCATTCACATCTTGATTCTATGGATATTTCGACAGGAAGTACAAATGCCATCCCGCACGCTCTCTCGTATGTTTGATGTTACACTTGATTCTCCCGACGCGTAGCTCTTCCCTCGTGGCAGTGCTGAAAAGGGATTTCCCGTTCTCGGCAGCGCTGTTCAGAGGCAGAAGGTTGGGATTTTCTGTTCTTGGCAGTGCCCACCTTGTCTCATATTTGCACAACTCAGTTGGGGCACCCATGTACTTTTGTGATTCAGACCCAAGTTCGAATCCACACGCAATCAGATGAGCACTTGCTGAGGAGTGCGGCGAGGCCGTGGCCACAATACCCAATAGGGAAAAAAAGAGGAAAGCGAAAATACAAAAATGACACCAATAGGGGAAAAAAAGACAATAAGATTCTGGGATACTGTACTCGAAAGATTTTAAAACTGTTAAACCACTTCTTTCCATGGAATTGATCCAGCGGCCTTAGCTCAGTTGGTAAGGCTCGCAAGTGCCATTCAGGACCTTGTGGGTTCAATCCCCATTGGCCTCATGTACCTTCCTGGGCATGTTTGGCACCCGCCCCCCAGACATAGACCACTAGATCCCCCAATCGACATTGATGTGAGTCTGCTGATGTTTGTAGGGGAGGGGACCTGAGGGGAGGCACAGGGATTGGTCCTGGCATGGTCACTGATGCTACTGGCTGTCCCCTGGCCGGTATTGCCCACCTGCAGGTCGGGAGCAGCCCCAGCATGTTCTCTTGTGAATACAGAGTGCTCTGGCTGCTGCAGGGTTCCCCGTATGACTATAATTAGTAGTGGTATGTAGGTAGTGTGAGGCGAAATAGAGAGAAGAATATAGCTTACTTCCAAAAAAAAAGGATTTCTGTTTTGCTGATGTCGGCCGATGAAAATTATTTTTCTGTTTTGCTGATGTCTGCAGAGTTGTGCAGACCATTCATGGTGCACCGGTCCAGTGAGATCCATGTGGTGCACACTTTGCGTGCACGACACATGCCTCGAGTTTGAACCAGACATCGTACACCAAAATGTGGCTCGACTGACTGTTCTCACGAGACAATGCACAGCACCCTGGTCACACAGGGAACAGCACAAAAGATTGAACCAATGCCCCCCTAAATGAAGAGTTGAGCTGTATTCCATGTGGCAAAATCTTATGGTCTTTTTGTTCAGTCAATCGACCACCACAACTTCCAGTTGTCCCACAATTGGGGTGAAGTCATTGTGAAAGCATATGAAGGCCTACAAGCCTGTGCTCCACAACTACCCTGTCTGGCTCAACCATCTTATGCGCATCGACATGCATCTAACGTCAACTTTTCTTTTCCTTGTGAGGTGCGCAAGCAGATCTGGGAGTCCATCTGATTCACATTTCTGATCCGACTCCCCAGTGAATTCACTGCCCCTCTTTGTGTCGAATGTCTTCTTCCCATTGCAACTCCTAGCAGGTGTCTTCTTTCTTACCATCCTTCATTGCCTTCCATTCGCAGTCCCCACCCCTGAGGGCCGCGGTATAGTGGGCTCCGCCATCTGTGTCAAGGAGGCATATTTTGGGAGTCCGGCGACCACCGTGTTAAGGAGGTATGTAGGGGGGGGGGATTTGTTGAAGGACCAGTCCACCGTGTTTTCTTGCACGACCCACAGCTATCGCGCGAAGAACAGGCGCGGTGCACAATCTGTAGATCAGGTCATGATCTTTCCAGGAAAAATATCAGAAAAATGAAAAAAAACAAAATCATTTCGATGGTGAAATAATCACCATGCCAATTCGCTGCATTTTCCATTTTTGCCACTCTGCCACGTGTGGGCCAACAGAACAAGTACTCCAGTGACTTTTTGTGCTCCCACGAATGTCTAACGAACCCGTTCTTGATGAGAAGCCGATCAACCATGTCAAACAAGTCTGAACCCGGTGCTCAATATGATGTCTCGAATCGTGAATAATCGTCCATATCTCGATTGAAAACTCATTTCAGAAGCAGTGTGTCATCATAGAAGAATGGAGAGAAGAGAGAATAGACTAGAGAAAGACAACCAGGATGTGGAGGAGAAGAGAAACAATAATAATCCATAATACAGAAGGCTGCCTGTTGCGGGTTCACCCGCAATAAAATGAAGGAAATAGTGTTAAAAAGAGAAACAATAATAATCCATAATACAGAAGGGTACCTGTTGCGGGTTCACCCGCAATAAAATGAAGGAAATAGTGTTAAAATGAGGATTGGGGGGGGTGCTGTTGCCTGGGGGGTGGGTTTCGGCGGGATGGGGGTGGTTTTCATGCTCACCTCAGTCACCTGTGCATAGTTGTTGACACAGTCTCTCTCTCTCTTACTGCACACACTCTCTCTCTCACTCACTGCACACTCTCTCTCCCAGTGCACACACTCTCTCTCACTGCACACACTCTCTCTCTC